TTATATTATATATAAATTATAATTTTCTATCATTTCGCTTCGTTTCATTGTAATTTTTATCCCACAAATACCGCTCTGTGAAATAAATTTTTACTATATTATATACTATATAAATAATATAATAATATTGTTATATATATATATATAAATTATAATTTATATATATACTTATTATATTTATATTATATATAAATTATAATTTTCTATCATTTCGCTTCGTTTTATTGTAATTTTTATCCCACAAATAGCTTTTTTATTTTCAAGCATTTTTTTCTCAGTGTACTGATGTATTTTGCGATCATAGACAGTGTCATGTAAGGTGTTTAATTCGGCCGTCATATACACAGAAACTTGGATTTGCTATAACGCATAATGAATTAGTATGTTGCAGATTTTGCAGTGAAATTTCATTCACTAGTCAAAGTCAATGAGAAATAAGATAAAGCAGTAAAGTGAGAGTGCACTGCAAACCCGGATGTATTATCCTGACTGAACCTCTTTTAACGCGTTTCTTACCATTTCAAGGCGTCTCATTTAACACGTTTAAACGTATCAAATTATAATTTACACGTTGAACGTGTCAAGTGACGTGATTTAAAACGATAAGAAACAGTAAAAGGGGCGTTGATTTGCACGCTTGTGCGTTTAAAAATAACACATTTAGACCTGCAGTGCGTTTTCACGGAACATCAGTGAACCTTCACTGATCATCGATGAATTCGTGACCTTCGTGACTTTTACTGATTGAATCAGATACATTTTCGCTTTAATCTAAGGGAGTAAGAAGTACCTGTGGTCAGTTTCCAGACTGGCGACAGTCAACGAGTCGATGTAGACTCGCGGTGTGTGGAACAGCCGCCACGTGAGCGGGTTGAAGACCGAGGTACGATACTCCCAGGTGATCTTCACCGATTGCGGCTTGCCCACGAAGTTCCCGGGAAGCACCAAGGTGTACGTATTGCCGGGCTCGTAGTACTTTGGCTCCGAGCTCAGCTGCAACTTCTCGGTCCTCTTCCCGTTCGTGCCAATCACGTGCAACACGAACATGCCGACCTCGCCGCCATGCGACAAGCTCTCATTCGTCTTCGAGATGTTTATCGTTATCTTATAGTGGGCCTCTGCAAGAGCATCGCGGAATCATAATGACGACACGATTAACTATGATTAACTATGAATTATAATTTTCGAGATTCGCTTCATGAGTAATTGTCGTTCGATTTTGCTCGTGTGAAATTCAAGAAAAACGACTCGCGATGACTTCGATTACAAAAGAGTTGTTGTACTGACTGCAAAACGGCCTAGAGGCTGCAGTCATCAGGTACACGGACGCGTCGTAATTCCCGGGTTGAGCGTCCAGGCCAAATCTGGGACAATACTGGTTTTTGCAGTCGAAGCAGCTGCCCTCTTGAAACTTTTGCCAGGAGTTGCACGGCACGGCTATGAACGGGCATGGGCTGTTTATACTCTCGATGAAGTACTCATAGCTGCGGATATGATTGCAGCTGAGAAATCTCTTGATTCCTGCAGAAAGAGAGAATCACGCGATTAATCTCCGTCTTCCCTCCCGATCAAGTGATCGGTAATGGCGATCGCGACACAACACGTTCGGAGACGGATTGGAAATTCACCTCGGAAGAAGCTGCCGCTTTCTTTGCTGATGGAGTTGAGCACGCCCATGTTGCAGCCGGGCTGATTGCTGCCGCCATTCGGATAGAAATCGATGTGCGCCACCGGTTGCGTAATGCCAAGGCCGCCGGTAATAAAAGGATTACAATCAGTGTGAATTGCTGTCACGAACTTCGCGTCGGTCGGATCCAGCCGGACTATCGGCGAAGTGTTGCTGAAGTGCGGTTCCGCCGGATCAAGGCCTAGCCGGTGAAAATGCAACGTGACAAGTGTTAACGCAAGTTTAACGTCGTAATATCGCGATTGCACCATTCGCCGCACGAATTTTGAAAGAAGCATGAGCAACGAACGAATTCAACGCCGTCGCCGGAATAAATTCACGGCAAAAGGAACGGATTCCGCATTTGAATCGAACTAACGATTCGTCGTTCTGTAGCTTTCGTAGTAAATTTTTTACTTTCTAGTGAAGGCTCTTCCCTCCTGCGGGAAATTATAATGAGGTTTTAAAAATTCCTCTCTCGAACTCGCCTAACAGAAATGATCTTTACTCACAAAGTAATTTTATAACACGGCAGAAACAACTGTAAAAAAATCTTTGAAATATTCCAACGTGTATCTTTAATAGAGTGTAAATATTACCCGCAATCTATTAGTAATAATGATTATAGCTGGGAAATTTCTTGATTCCTAAAGAAAGAGGACTAATAAAGAAAGAGAAAGCAATAAAGACAAGAAATGCTGCACTCAAACAAATATGATCTTCGAAATAATAAACCGAAATAATAGAAAGCTCTTTGAAAATAGATAAACTAATAGTGAGAAATTAACGGCACATAAGGAGCAAGCACGGATGTCTTAGTATCTTACCCGCAGTGGAATCTTATACATGACATGATTCTTTTATAACTGAACTCAAAAGATGATTCTTTTACTAAAAAGAAAATATTTTAAGTATATAATTATTATTCCTCTACTAACGAAGAGGAATACTTTTCTGGTCAAAATATTTGCTTAGAATATGTGATTACATAAGATAGCACTTTGGAACTAGAATTCTCTAGAGTTGTTCTTTTGTCGGATATTTGAATGTTTTCCTTTCGGAAGAATTCTTTTCAGGCCATGACATAAGAGAATCCTGCCAAGGATAAGAGTATATTTTTCGCCTGCGAGACGCACTAACGCTCATAATATAGTTGTTGCGTCAGACGTAACTATCCGCGACAGGAACTTCGAATCGATCTCTCGCGAATATCGCCGGTAAAATTGACAAGTCAAAGGCGATTTCGTCACGCGAACCGTAAGACTGTGTTCGCGTTCTGAAGGGGGTTCGCGTGCTTCTCTCGACGAATCTTAATTCTCGACATGTAAGATACACACGCGGCTCGTATCACATAAGGATTACAAAACGCGCGTCGTAACACACCTGCGGACCTGCGATTGTTACCGACGTTATTGCGTAAAGACGGAAGTTATTTTTCGGTCTGCCGAGACAATAGATTAAAAGCTTCGTTTACGAAGGAGGAAAGTCATTGTTACGGCACTCCCTATCGCGGCACAATGCGCTTTTATCCCTCCTGGACGTTCTTCGTGAAATTGTCACTTCTGTCTCTCGCCAAGAGAATGGAACTCTTCGCTGGCGAGCTCGCGCGAAGCAGAGACTGTATCGTTCGCTTTCGCATATTGATTTTAACGAAATATCTTTATTCTATTGCCCAAGAAAATCTCATTCCTGCTCGGGTATACATTTTTTATTTAAAAAAGTGAGCGTATCGCAAGCAGTACATTTTGTCTAATAGCATTGGCGACACTGACAGGTATGGCTTCAATTTCTCAGTAGCTTTCAATTGAGTTTCCGTCTTGGCCCTCAAGAAGTCGTTATCTCCCTTCTACCTCGTGGACTCTCGAGATTGCAGGTAAGTGGCAACAGCTTATATTAATATATTCGTAACTTTTCAAAGCTTCAATGCTCATGTGAGTCTACTGTGATCATTCAGTCATTGTAATTTTTGTGATTATCATTAATAAACTTTTGTCGAGTTAAACATTCACCTTTGCCACTTTTATTTTAAAAGAAGATTCACACGACTGAAAATTCATGTTTGTAAGTCTAAGAATTATGACGCGTTCAGCTCTTGTAATCGTTATAAAATCGTGTTTCCAACTAATGAAATTGATTGGTTTAGATTGATTTAGATTAGTTTTAATCATTTGGACACGGCGGAAACCTAAGATTTAAATCCTGATGGCAAAAGCTGACAAAATTGCTGAAAAAGCTGCGAAGTACGACCGCCGGAAATCGCGTCTTGTTATTGCCGGCTTAATGAAAAATTCACTGTGTGACGAGAGACTCGACGGGCGATTCGTGTTCTCTGACAACTTTCTCGCGACGTATCCTTTCGCCTGGGGAGGATCGACGTTCCCCATTGTCCTCCTCGTCCTTATTCGGACGAGGCAGCTGTCTTCCTGCCACTTCTTAGGTCCGCGTGCGCTCTTATTCCGGTTGTTTACCGCGATCTCGTCTCCGGGCGTGTCTAGGGGAACGCTTCCCGCTGCCATCCTCGATGCGCAAAACGAAATCCCGTTGACTATTCTGGCGAACCGAGCCGAAACACCCCCTCATTCCGACTAGGGGTTGTCCCGACCACGAGCAGGCTCGGCACCGAGGCGGAGAGAGGGCGGTTATTCGCCAGCCCTCGGTGAATTCTGCGGGTCGCATTGTAGCCATGACGATTATATTCTCCTCCCCCTTTCCTCCCCCTTGCGCGCCCCATGGTCCTCGTTAACACACTTCGCGCCTTCTTCTGTTATCCTGGTAGTTCCCGATGGGATCGATAGCTTACGTAACGCGGAACCCCGTCCGCCGCCAATCGGTTATTGCCTTCGATTGCATCGATTGCCGCCGGAGGTGGAAATTCCGCGCGGAACTCAGCCGAGCTGTCGCGCCTTCTCCCTGGGGACTTCCGCCGGCGGTTTCTTCACTCAACGATCGTCGTGCGACTTACGCCGCGAACACGCGGAAAAATGTAAGCGGTAATACTTAAGCAGTGCTGCGAATCGACCAAACGACCAGTCGTTAGTTCTTCTCACGTTTCAAGAACGCGATCGATTGGTCAATTTTCTCAAGTCTTACTGCTTACGATTTTCCGCACGTCTTGGCCCTATAAGGTCGGGAACACACACAGAAAAACGTAAGCGGTGAAACTTAAGTAGTGAGTAGTGAATCGACCGAACACAGTCGATAGCTCTTCTTGCGGGCCAAGAACAATTTGTTGTGATTGGTCAATTTTCTTACTGCTCACGTCTCGCTACTCAAGTTTCTCTGTGTGTCCGGGTCCTTAAGCGGATGGCATACAGAAAAACGTAAGCGGTAAGCATTAATTGATTAATCACAGTCGATGATTCTCTTTACGGCCCGAGATTGTTATCACATGTAATATCGATATGTAAAGCTATTATTTATAATAAAATTTGACATTTTCGCTTGGTTTAACTACTTCATCATTGCTCTTGTAAAACGTAGAAATTTAAGCAATATTTTATCCTAACGTTTCTAAATTTTTTATAAATGAAATATTTTTTATAGGAATATTTTCTTATATAGTTTTATTCGTGTAAGGGAGCGAGTGAACTATCTTAACTTGACCTAATTATACCACTCTTTTTATAGAAAATAGAAGTTCAAATAACAATATTTTTTATTAAAGTTTTTAGGTGTGTCATTTTATAAATTTCGTTCTATAAAATAAATAAGATCTTTTTTGTATTAATGCGATCTTATTGATGTCCTTCTCACGGCCCAAGAAAAAGCGACTGTGATGGGTCAATTTTCTCATTGTTTACGTTTCCCGGTGTGCCATTCTTTTTACGAGGAAGAATCGTCGCGCGCGGTGAGCTTGCTGCTCTTAATTTCCGCGCACGCCGCGACGACGGATCGTAAACCGCCAACGCGGGCGCGCTCGAGCGAGCCCGCGTTATATAAATCGGCCGCATGGCATAAATCACACGGGGAAGTACAACGAAAGTACTCGGCCCGGCGATTTTAAAAGTCGTTATGCACGCGCGTCGTAACGACGACGACGTTCCGTCCTTTTATTTACCCGCCGCGCGTGTTCTCCTCCCTCCCCCCAATCCCGACTTGTCATTATATTACGTCTGGAGAAAAGTTTCACCGATCCCTCCGAACGATGAGCTCGCGTAACGAGAATGCGGAGGGCCGCGACACCGATGCGCGTACCGGCGCGTTCTTATCGAATGGGCAAACGTGTTTCCCTTTCCCTCATTTCGTGATTCCGCGCGCCTGTGCGATCGCATTCTCTTTCGGCGTTCTCGACTTTTCCGCGCAAGCCTCTCCTGCGACGACTGCTATCCTGATCGTTTGCGATTCAATCGGCCATCTTCGTAACCCTCCGAGCTGTCCGCGACCGCAGGAGGGGGGGACAAACGACTCACTCGACATTGATTATTTGGCGGAGGTGAGAACGGCGGGGGCGCGGAGAAAGGAAAGAAACGCGGGAACGCGTGCTCGCGATAACGGCGCGACACACGGCGACACAACGCTCTTCCGCGATTTGCATATTCTCCGTTACGTCACGCCGGCGTTTTCCTTTTTTCCTCATCTTACGACTCTTTGTCGCAATTGACTCTTCAACCTCTCGTATCGAGTGGCTCCCGCGACACCCTCCTGTCGCAATTGCCTCTCCGACCTCGCGCAATACCTTTCTAGTCTATGCATAATCCCAGAGGAATATCCGTACAGTCACTCTTACGACCGGACAACGTTGACATTGTGCAGGGTATAATTTTGCAAATTATTGCACGACGATAATTTTATCAGTGGCGACAGAAGTATCTTAGGGTCGAGAGGGGATTCCTCAGAGTCGTCACGTGATCAGAAAACACGTGACACTTTCTTGATAAGCGAGTCCAATATTTTCGGAGAACACGAAACTCATTATGATATTCAAATTGCTAATATTTAGCCAAGGTGATATGAGCCAAATGTAGGCATTGGCTCGGTGATTTGAAAATTCTATCATTGAATACGTCTTTGCCGATTCTCTGCTGTCCCAAAGTAAAAGTATCAATGACTGGATAGCTAACTTTGCGCATTTTTATCATTTTGGTCTCTTTATATATATCTCTAAATATTTAAACTTTCAATATACGTATAAGGGAGATAAAGTTTCCCAAAGTAAATTGGCAAAATCGATTATTTGTATTGTTTTTAAGAGATTTCAGAATCAAGTAAGTAGAAATTTCAAAGTTATCTTTGATATGTTTAAAAGTCTTGCTTGCTTAATTTTGTAATTTGTTAGAAAATACTAGAAACAACTGTTTTGTCAACTTAGCCCGGTAGTCAACTAGCCCCGACTTCTCCTACATATATTGAATATAGTTAAATATATAGTTCACATATTACTATTTAAAGATCGTAATAATAAGAATGTCCACAGTTACATGAAAAAAACAATTCCGTTAGTGTGACTGAATTTTCTGTTATCTGAGTTATCTAGAAGTCAGATGAAGAGAGAGTGAGAGAGTTGCTTGTAGAAACTGAAAGATTCCTGTAGGAGGTTTTTACTCATCAATTGAATTGTTCTCAGATATTTCAAGTTTTAATCTAGCCAAATGTTCAGAGGAATGTTTTCGCTCACAGTAACAGAGATATTATTTCCGCCAGCGAATTTTGTGGTCTGTGGTCGTCTGGTTATCTAGTCAGTTATACGAATTGAAATCTTTTTCCGCGTAAGTACGCGTCCAGGCATTGGTACTGTTACACTACACGGAAAAAAAGAATTTCGGCACGGGTGACTGGACGGAGACCAGACGAAAAACTCGCTGACGGGAGATAATATCTCGTTAATGTGATTGAAAACATTCGTCTGAGTATTCATAGTTGCATCAAAACTCGGTTGAGATAACTGAAAGCAATTTTCGGAGTAGAAACTTCCTACAAGAATCTTTCTATAACCGAATTTTTCATTTGACCTCAGAGTAGCAGAAAATGTCTGTAACGGAAAACTTTTTCCGTGCAGGTATTGACGCTACAACATATAAAAACCAGTTAAAAAAATTGTTTACAGGCGAATTGTACGTTTGACAATCGATCAGTCAATGCCGTTTGGCTCTTATCTCTAATTAGCGACTTATAGAGTCGCTATTAGGGAGTAGTTTTACCTGTAATTCGGCCGAGGATGTAGTTATAAGTTGTCCTCAGATGGTATCCCACGTAACCGGCGGTATGGCCACCCAGGCTGTGTCCTATGATGTGCATCTTTTCAGGCGCTATTCCGCCGATCTTAATTAATTGAAACGCCAGGCGAGCCGTCATCGCGCCCACTAATCGCGTGTTTGCCACTGCCTGGGTGTAAGGTGGCGCAGCCCCGTTCATCCAGTTGACCACCACGACGTTGCAGTCCTCTCGTATCAGCAGCTCCTTCATCATCCTCAGGATCCAGGACGTTTTGTCGCCGTTCTCGAGGAATCCGTGAATGATGAAGTACAAGTTTTTGTTCTTCTTCAAGGGAGATTCCTCGATCGTCTCCAAGTCATCGATCACCAAATTGTGGTACTCGCCTTGTTCCCGTGTGTAGAGGAGGTAACGAGGATTGATGTCGTCCGGGTGTGTCGGAAACGTGGACACTGGCCGTTTATCCCCGGACCACGGAGATCCGATGTAAAAACAGCCGTACGGCAAATAGCACCGCCACATGTACCAGTCTGAGGAGACAAGGTCTGAGGAAACATGCGGCTGTATTAAATGCGCTTGTGACTCCGGTAATACGCATCTGTATGTATCGGGCTGTCATGTACGAGGCGGTCCGACTATTCGTCAGGCTTGAAAACGTCAACTCATTCCGACACAAGTCGCGATTCTTACCCGGAGTCGAAATTTCAGCTCTATATTCGACCCGAGCCTTCTATTATTTATATATTTTGAAGGATCGGTATATGTGTTTGATATACATGGGAGTTCTACTTGGCGCTTTTAAAGGGCAGAAGATGCACAAAATGCCATTGCAAAGAGGACATCTCGGCAAAACTGTAGATTAAATAGAATCAAAAGAGATTGGTGTATACTTCAGGGTATCAAAGTGGGTTAAATGGAATATTGAAGTCGGAAGTAGGATCAATATTTTGACTCGGGCGACTTCTCCAATAGAAATTTTGGCCCTTTTACTTTCGGTCTAATATCTTTTTAAAATTTTTTAATACCTGTACATTCTGAAGAATCAGTGTATGTTTGATACACATGGCGCTTTTAAAAGATAGAAAACGCACAAAATGCCACTGCAGATTCTAAAGAGGACTTCTTGGCAAAACTGTAGATTAAATAAAATCAGAAGATATAGAGAGAATATCAAAGTAGGCGTTAAATAGATCGTTGAGGTCGAAATTGGGATGGAGATTTCGTCTCGAGTAAACAGAATTTGAGTAGTGAAATTTCTCTCTGAATAATTCTAATAACAATACAGAGTAAATCAGTAACTATCGTTACCTGTGATATTTTCGGAGCGAACAAAGATGATTTTCAGATACTCTACTTAGAAAAAAGGTGTTACCACAAGACGCTCTTTTTCTAAATAGAATAACTTCGACGATCTGAAGATCAACTTTGCCTTCTGCTTCAAAGATATTTCAATTGGCAATAGTTACTGATTCGCTTTGTATATATACGCACAACGCTTGAAATCCGCGAAGATCTCGTTTCTCGTTCAAGCGAGAAACGAAACGAGATTTCGTTTCTCTCAATGTAGTCGACTGCAAAATTCGAAAAGTTTTAATTAAAAAGAGCCGCAAACTTCTAAAGCGCCTCGCGTACGCGCATTCTGAAGGAGTCGAATTGAAGAGTCGGTCTGAGATATTTTGTTGCGTTAACAATTCACCGGCAATTGGATGTTAAATGTCGGTGCATTTTTCCACGTTCCCGATCAGGACGTATCTTAACTTATCAAAGTTCGCCGTTCCTCATTACGTCGACTGACGTCTCGAGCGACGACGAGCTTCGAACCATTACGAATTGCCGTACTTGTGAGGGGTTATCGGCGCGTCCATGATATTTCTGTACGCAGCCCTATCAGTTCCTCGAATACTACGCTGATGTTTCGTCTTCGTATTGGATCAGCGATTAGCACAATATATAATCGACGGCACGTGACGTCGCCGACTGACCCTTGTTTCCTTCTCCGTTGAAATTTTCTTCCGATACTACTTCACTTTCGGTTGCGGAACTTTATTTATAACTTTTATTTCTATTTATCATTATCATTTTTTGCTTCCTTCGTAAGAAGTATCGAACGCGTCGGGAAGGTCATTGCGATAGGACAGCTGACAAGTTGACTTCTTAAGTTTCGACGTCCTTAAACGTCGGTTAAATCTCGATCTAAGTTTGAGTCTTTGTCCGAACACAACTTAAACACAGATTAAGACTTAACCGACATTGGTGAAATCGGGCATTAGATGACGAGTACTTTGAAGAATACTTACGATCATGCATCTCGAACTTGTTGGCCTCGTCTTCCGGCGACAAGGTCGTGGTGCTGATGTTATTGTCTATAGTGGCCGGCGTTGTGGCATTCAAGTTGACCATCAGATTGGCCGCTTGCGCCAGCATAATCATCTGGTTGAGGATCATGTTTGTCGTTTATGGCTCCTTCGTAATCACCAAAATTACTATTTCGGCTAACTCGTAATTTATAATTGCTACAGGTGCTTCGCACCCTTTCGCGCCACGTTACTCTAGACGCACTGCGTAGTTTGAACATCCATGTGCGAAGAAAGTGAGTCACGTTATCACAGTTTCAACATATGAAATCTCTCTCTCTCTCTCTCTTTCTCGTGTTCGATTATACGGCAATATAGATGAGAAACAATAATAACCGGAGGATTTCGAGACGTCCTCTTCCTCGTCTCTTTACTTGACCACGACTTTGTGAGAACTACCTGAACAGAGAGATCATAAAGACGAGAACTCTAAACTCTCTCGGTGTATTGTTCGGGTTGGTGGCAGGTGGGGCGCTCGTACTTCTTTCTTTCTCTCTCCGATTGTTCGTAGAAAATGGTAGAGTTTCGGTTTCCCAAAGTTCTCGTGAGCTCTTTGTATCTCCGTCCCGTCGACGCGGCGACTCCTCACTGCTGGCTACTGTGTCAGCCGCGTGTGATATCAGTGATAATAATGAAAAATCGATTGACGCAAAAGTCAAGTGATAGCCAGTGCCTCGTGTCGGCTGCAGATTCGATATTCAGTGGTCGCTTCGAAATAAACTAAGTTTTATATCGCGCGACACACTAATAAACAGCGCTATATCACCGGCTATTAATTCAATCCTCCAGAAGTCTCGTCTCCAGCTTAATCGACTTTTCTCTGGAGGTAATCTCTAACTTTAGGCGAAACCTCTCTCAAAATCACAATAAGTTCACGAGTAATCGCTTCCTTTTTCTCTTCCTTTCTCTCTCTTTCTCTCTTTTTTCCTCTCTTGCGCGCGAATTGGAACGTAGGCAATTTCGAACTCTTGATAATATTGTAGTCGAATTTCGTGGGTGATTTTCTTCCTTTCGCGATTACGGATCTCGAGGATCGCGAATGTTCCTCCAGCCGGTTAGGCCACGCCGTTACACGAGAAAGATAGATGTCACGAAGACGACAGTCAGGCGTCGCCGATGATCCGTAGTCCACTGATCGAGCGAGCACTAATCAGTTAAATTTCAGCTGACCGGCCCCGTACTTATTCATCTGCTCGTCGCGTGTGTGTTTGCGCCCCACTCCGAGAGGAGCTCGACGGGAGAGCGCTCTCCTTCTCCAGTTTCAAGATAGGAAGAAGAGGAAGAAGAATACGAAGATGTTTCGTGCATCTGACGATTAGGGAGAAGAGCCGTGGTTTGTTAAATTCGAATGTTAACAGAAGCGAGGCTACGCAGGCAGAAACAGCGCACGACAACAATGCCGCGAGCATCCTTTGTCGCGCGTGTACAAGGAAGACTAGATTTCCATGTGATCTCGACGGCGAATAGTAAATAAAGAGACAGGTACGAACGTATAAGAGGGAGAATCGAGCGCAATAACGTTTAACGAGAACGAAATAAAGATTGTTATCGAACAATCGGTGTAAGATTTCACTAATATCCTTCCCTAGCTAGATTCCCGCAAAAAAGGTCATTACGTCTATCCCATAAAACTCCCACCCTGCTTCTCTTCCGCACTGAGAACGCATATCTTTTGGAATTTCCTAAAACGTCAGCGATTGCATCTACGATATCGCGAATCATTCATCTTCTGTCAGACGCGATGTTTCGGAGAAATCCGCCGCGTGTTTAAGTTCTCACTCTGTCGCTCGAGAAGAGAAGATTTCATCGAGGATGCCCTTCTTTTCCACTTCTTTGTGAATAGCAGGTTCGCTCGAGCGAACTTGAATGCAGCTCGGCATCCACGGAATTCACGAGGAAACGTAGCAGGCTCTCAAAAGGGCCGCCCTTTTTGTGTCAGCCGCCTTTTCGTGGAAGCGCGTCAGGCTTCCAAGACGACAAGATGCGAGACGATAAATCCGCCGGTGGTCCGGCGGCTCGCCACTAATTAAGCGAGATCAAAGCCACTTAACCGTCCGTTAAAGAGAACCGTTCTTGTTTTCTTCTCGCCGCGAAATAGCGCGGCGATAAGTTTTCTGTCGCTTCGGCGATCACACACCATGACAATGTGATCGCAAAGGAGGCCCTCGCAACAGTTTCTACAGCAAAAGCCTCATCGGCATTGAGGTCGATCTTTGTTCGTGGAAGGTGAGCGTCGCACGAGGACATCCACGTGTGCATATAGGGGAACGCTGTGATCGCGTTTATTCTTGGTATATTCGCATAGAATCTCGAAGTTACTCGAATGTAAAGCTGGAGGTGTTTCGCGCCTGCGCCGCGAGCGTCCTTGCCCCATTCTAAGGGAGAATTCACATCTAGGCAGAGAAGCAGAAAACAGAGAGGCAGGAGCCAACCTTACTCTGTACCCTGGGGGTGTCATCGACCAAACCCCACGTTACTCCAGCATTCCCCTGCGCGAGTCACCCCTGAACCGCCTTCTAGCCGGTCGTGTATTCCTAATACCTCGCACTCTTGGGACGTGTTTGCTCGGGGTAAGTTGTAAAATCGCCCCGGTCGGCGGACGCGCGCCAACGTGTACCGAGCACGGTAGTCACGTAGTCGCGAACGAAACGGGTAGACTCGTGCTGATAGGAAAGCAGAAACTGTCGACTACCATCTGACTACCAGCAGCGCGAGCTCTGATTCGCTTCCGCCTTTGTGCTCTTCTGCCAAGGTGTGAATTCTCCGTGACAAAGCAATGAATTTAAGTAGCGTGGGAAATCCCGACGGAGCCAAGCACAATCAGTTCTCTTGGTCACGGCGGTTCCTAAGGCGATCGGGCGTAACGCGTCTCTGAGCGAGTCTCATGATGGCGACGTTATTGTTTCCGCAACTCGTTGGGCGTCCACACGGAGACGCACGTGTGCGCCGGACAGGTTTTGCACACGGGGCCGGCGACAAAGGGGCTCTTCTCCCCGGCGCAATCGAACCGATCGATATACGGGGTGGCTCGGCGAGGGGCAAGTGCCGGCGTGACGCCCCTACCTTGCGCACGGGGTGTCATCGACCGGTTGCGCGAATGGAAACCCCACGTTACTACAGCATCCCCCTGCGCGAGCCACCCCCGTGGCGTGAATCACCTCCTGACCGATCGTGTACTCCTAATACTTCGCACCCCTGAGACGTGTTTGTTCAGGGATAAGTTGTAAAATCATCCCGGTCGGCGGACGCGCGCCAACGTGTGCCGGTCGCGTAGTCGCGAGCGAAATGGTCGCGGAGGCGGGACTCCTGGCCGTTCCTGCGGGCTTGGTAGCGGAATCGTACGAGTGTTGCATCGTGATTACCGCGAAAAGTATGAATGACAGCTGAACGCGCCGTGTCAGGGGTTGCTTACCCTCCGACCCGTGCGAAACTCGCGTCGCGTCCCCGTCCTCGGGCGCATCGCGCGCCTGCACCTGTGATCCTTTCGCTCGTGCCTGCACACCGCGATATCTGAGACAACCCTCGCATTATTTGTTTCGCGTGTGCACACCACAAACTTATATTCGACCGTGTATTGGCGAAGACCTATAATTATATCCTCGCGATGCCAAATTCCTTCGATCAACTTTGACCGCTTATCGCGCTCTCGACGGAGGCTCGTCAACACATAATCGCACGACGAAACTGACCGTTGCGATCGTTCTTTGATCAATAAATTTGTTACATTGCATAACTAGTCGTTTACAAATTGTTCACGGGAAGTGCGAGAGGAAGAGAGATCGCGAGGAGCAAACGTTCAGGCTACAGGCGGGAGACCGGCTTTATCGATTGCACCTCGCTCATTGAATTAGTTTGGCATCATTGTTACATATCGATCCTTCATGTTGGCAGGGAGCGACAGCTCGCGGCGGTGGTGGGGACGGAGAAAAAGAGGGATCGAACGCAAACGCGTAGCTGGTTGTTGGCGCGTGGGTAGCGGACGCCATAACGCGGGTCTTTAATGATACGAACGCGACAGACCGCCGTCCCCTTTGGCCTTGAAGGGGCCTGCAAGACCCTTGAAACGCTCTTGCCAACCCTTGCTACCCTGTTACACTGCCCTATCCAATCCCCATTCATTTACATGCGTCTCCGTGCGAGCGGCGTCCTTCGAGCTCCGCGCACGGAGTGAGGCGATTTACCTGGTCGAGAGGACTCGTGCACACGCAAAGCGCTCCGCCGTTTCCCCCGGTTGTCGACAAGGAGCGCCGACTCCGACACCGCTAATTATGCGTCGGCGCCGCTCGCACCGGCGCGCCTTATTTGCATACACGCAAATTGCAATCGCGCTCTGCGATCGCGCGAGGTGTAATCGCGCCGCAATTCATTGCGAGCCGAGGACTCGTCGCGTGCATGGATGTGCGCTTCGTGAAATTTTGTGTCGCGATGCGATCTTTTTCAAGAATTTATCGCTATTAATGCGATATATCGCATTACAATTGTGTGTCGCAAATAGGATTTCAAATCGCGCGCGATTTTGTATTGGCACTTGGATGTCGGAAGCAAATTTTTCTGACAAACTTTCGCTTTACTCGAGTTCACAGCAAAAGAGAAAGAGAGAGAGAGAGAAAGAGAGAGAGAAAGAGAGAGAAGAAGACCCATGCGTAGAGATATGCGATTTACGAAATTATGTACCGCGATACTTTTATAAGAATCGCAAAGAATGTGATTCGCATATGATTTTATATTGTAAGTGCAACTTTAAATGGCGCGTGATATTAGTGCTGTAATTCTAAGCAAATATACGAGTAAATCGTAAAATCGTAAAATCATAAAGTCATAGCTTATGAAAAAAAAACAATAAAAAATCGTAGATATTTACGAGTTATCATATGACATACGGTCCGCATAGAATTGCAGATCTACTCATAAGTTTTTACAAGTCTTACGAAAACAAGTAATGAGTTTTACGATTTTGTCTAGAATTGAAATATAAATCTCTAACGTGATTTTTAATCGTAAGAGAACCTGGAGCATGATGGAAATCGTAATTATTAAATAAATGTTAAGAAAGAATAAATCAATTCTTTCTCTTCTCTTCATCAAAATATTCTTTAAAGA